GGGGGGGGGGGCACAGGCTCCAAGACAAGATGCGGAAAATGCACAGCTTTCTAATGCACATCGTAGCTTATCTGTCGTTGCCCCAGGTATGTTATGTTTGGTAGCTGCCAGGAGCCCACACACACTATTAACTAAATTATACGATTATGGAATAATGATTAAAAGTAACCATTAGCCGGCTGATTGTTTTAACGCAGCCATACTGTAACAATCTGAAATGGTCCAAGCATCTTCTGTCGTTCAGAAATTCAGTTTCAGATCACGGATTAAATGATTGGACAAAAGGTTACCACACAGTAAATGACTGTTAAAGAAAATATCCCGTCCTCAGTTTTTCACTTAAAAGTGAACTTTGTTTATTACATTTGTTTTATATTTCCATCATCGCAAGATCAATCTATAATTGTTCAAAACATTACAGTTTCTTTTGCTGTAAAAGTTTGTTTTGCATTTCAATAGTCACATTATAATCTATAATAGTTACTTGTTCAAAACAATGTTATTGCAGTTTGCAACTCAGGAATGTAAATTTATATACAGTACGTATAAGAAAATACCGATACGCAGTACAGGTAAGAGTAGCAGTACGGCTAAAACCGTAATGACAGCCACCCATAGACTCACCACAGACAGTCTGCTTCTCCTCCGAATCTCGTCCGTATTTATTCTTTGCAAGACCAGTCTAAGTTTCCTTTCAGGAATGAAATGCGGCCTGTAGCTGCAACCTGTGCCTCTTGTAAGCTTTCCCTCTGGGGGGGAGGGGCGTGCAGGTGCTCCCCGTAGAACATTCTCGAACGAAACTTTTGAGTGCCATTAATTTGGCATTTTTAATAAATATTCCAGAACGTAGTTCTCCCAGTGCGCACAGTAATACCTTTGTCACACAGAATGGCATTACTTAGATGGCTTGTATATTATATAAAAAGATCTTGTTTGAGGCTCAGTGACAAACATGAAGTACAGGACAAGACATAGAATTACAGGGGAACATTCCATAGAACATTCCATAGAACACTAACAAAAATACCTCACCAGGCACCTCGTCCATTTCTCTTCCTTTATCTTCTTCTCTCCCATTTCCCTCTTTTCTTCCATCTAAGATCTTAAGATCATTTTTCTCAGGCTCCTTTTTCAAAAGCTATGTTCTGGTGTGTATAACTATACTTCTAAATGCCGACATGGCATCAGTAAGTGAAGTACACAGAGAGGGAGCACCAACTTCGTCTATCGTCATTTTTTTCTCTAAACTACTTCAGCATGTTCCTCTTGTCTGTTTATTTTTTCTTCTGAAAAATGTTGCCTAAAGATCTGAGATCCTCAACAGAAAAATGAAACACACAATCGAAAAATAGTCGAAAACTACGCCAGGCCATGCCGCCATTTCATTGTTTAAATGACTCATCTGATTTAAAGGTAATGGCGACTAAGGTGTGTCGTGGGAGGGTGAAAATGGCCGACCGGCCAGGTTCTACATGCTAAGCTCTCAAACACTCAACTTGTCTCTCTCAAAGGATAAAAAGTATTTCTTACTGAAAATAGCTGAAAATAAAAATGGCAGTGTTGACAACTTTGTTCAGCTGGCTGGCATGAGATTTCCGAGACAAGTCTGCACACACATCAGGTTCCGGTTAGTTTATTGTCATTCTTAACATGTTGACTCATGAAGAGAACGAAATTAGTGACTCAGGTCCAGCAGCGTACAATAAAGTGACAGTAATTCAGTAGTAAATGAAATCTCAATAACTTAAGAGGTACCTAAAGAATTATATCTAAGGCCTATAAGTGAAAGTAACAGTTTAAAACAGAGCAACATTGTTTAAAAAGCGAGCAGCGGAACAGAGGGATCAAAGAAAGGTGTGATCAGAGTGTCACAGCGTCCGGGAGGAACCTGCCTTTAGGCCTGGATTTTCACATGTACGTAACAAAGTCTGCAGGGTTTGCAAACTACCCCAGTGCTTTTGATGCAGCTAACTTTAAGGTTTATAATGGAATAACATAGATTTGCTGTAAGACTCCTTGCATTAATGGGACAGTCTGAAGACCTGACATGTACAGGGGGAGCTCAGGGACCGTCTGAAGGAGGCAAAGGAGTCGTACAGAAGGAAGGTGGAGCGGAAGCTGCAGGAGAACATGAGGGAGGTCTGGGCTGGTATGAAAACTATCATGGGTGGCAAGAGCAACAGGACAGCCGACGGGGACGTGGTGAGACCAGCTCAACCACTTCAACAACCCCCCCCCCCCGCACCATCACTGCACATCAGGTCAGAGGTGAGCTGAGGAGACTTCTCCCCAGCAGGGCAGCTGGCCCAGACAAGGTGTGCCCGAGAATGATCAAGGCCCATGCTGTCGAACTGGTGGAGCCACTTCAACCTGAGCCTGAGACTGGGGAGGGTCCCTGCACTCTAGAAGACATCATGCATCCTCCCAGTTCCCAAGAAGCCACACCCCAGTGAGCTGAAGAACTTCAGGCCAGTGACCCTGACATCCCACAAGACACAGGGTCACTCATGTGGACAAGGCGAGTGGTGCTGTGAGAATCATGTTCTTTAGAGACAAGCTAGCAGATATGAGGGTGGACTCTCACCTTCAGTCCTGGATCACAGACCTGGATTACGGGGAGACCACAGTTTGTCAGGCTGAGACACAGCTCCTCTGAGGCTGTAGTCAGCAGCACTGGTGCCCCCCCCCCCCAGAGGACTGTGCTTTCCCCTGTCCTGATCACCCTGTACACATCTGACTTCACCTGCATCTCGGAGTCATCCCACATGCAGAAGTTCTCAGATGACATGGCAGCTGTGGGATGTATTAGGGATGGTGGAGGACCTCCAAAACAAAAGAGATGGAGGTGGAGTTCAGGAGGTCCAGACCAGTCTCTATGGAGGGGGGCGACGTGGAAGTAGTCAGGACCTACAGCTACCTGGGGCTACAGCTGGAGGACAAACTGGACTGGTCAGCAAACACTCTACAAGAATGACCAAAGCTGGCTGTATTTCCAGAGGAGGCTGGGGTCCATCAACATCTGCAGGAAACTAATGTTCTACCAGTCGGTCATGGCCAGCGTCCTCTTCTATGCTGTGGTCTGCTGGGGACACAGTATCAGGAAGAGGAACATCAAGCGACTGGACAGCCAGGTGAGGAGAGCTGGACTCCATGACATCAGTGGCAGAGAGAAGGACCCTTAACAAACTTCTGACCATCATGGACAATGACAGTCACCTCCTGCACAGCACAGTCTACAGGCAGAGGAGTCTGTTTAGTTGCAGACTGCAGTCACTGTCCTGCTTGACAGACAGAGTGAGGAAGTGCTTTCTCCCCCAGGTCATACAGCTCTACAGCGCCTCACAGTGACAGAAGAGTGAATTGGACTTTTAGGCATGAGGCTGCTTCTGTTCCCTCTGCATTTCTATGAAAGTGTATTAGCATATCATGTATTGCAATTTATTATATATATAG